GGCGCGTTACCTATTTATATACCGCGGGTTCCCCTGGAGGCCTCTCGGTTGCGACTCGTTTGGGCGGAAGCGGACGTTTGGCAGTAGGTGAGTGCAAAACCTATTGCATCATACTCTCACTTGCTCGTGGTGACCTTCCTGGTTACAAGTTGGAAGAACCTGCCAATTAGTAGAAAGAACCTAAATGCAAGATAACACTTTACCAGTCGAGCAGTTTGAGCTGCATGTCGTTGCACTGGTTCCGAAGCCCTCGCCGATACATTTTCTTGTGTATCGACTCTGTGTGGTGCAGCTGCTGGTACCACACGCCGGGCGCCACGGAAGCTTTGTGCAGGTCATCATCAGAGACATGCTTGGCAAAGGCCTTGCGGACTTGGCGATCCGATGCACCAACCTCGGCCTGAAAGGTCTGACGCACGAAAGCCGAGCGACGGCTTTCAGACCAATACCCGGGGAAGAGCGTGAGAGCCAAATGACCCCCTTCTCCGTCTGCGGAACTCCACGTTTTGTGGTGTTTCGCGTGTAGTACGCCTAAGGACCTTACGAGCACTGGGCGCCAGTGCCTGAGATAAGCTCTGTACAACTTATCCAGCGGGACTTTTCCTGGGTCTTTGGCGCTGTCAGCCGGATCCGTCCTGAAAGTGAGGTGCACATCAAAAACCCAAACCCTTACATGTAGAAAGAACCTTACCAAATGGAAAGAACCTAACTAGCGAACTCAAATCTCAAGCCAAATGGAAATAACCCCAACATCCCCTCCTCCACTTGGTCTTGAAGTTCACCGGGTCGAACACCACATAGGTTTTGCTGCCTGGCTGCTCCTGGCGGATGTCAACATTGACAACTGCCTTTTGAGTTTCTTCGGTACAGCACGTGCACCAGAACCGGAGCTTGGTGGCAAGCAGGGCCATGTAGCTTTTGGCAACCTTGAGTCTGAGCTTCTTCACCTCGGCGGTCTGTGAGCGGCCTTTGGTTTTCAGGACCGCGTGCATCTTGCCCAGCTTTTCTTTGAAGGCCACCATCTTGCTCTTGAGCAGGGGTAGGTCCAGAGCCAGTTTCTTCCTGAATACCGTTTCTTCCGGGGTATCTCCCGGCATGGCCACCAAGCCTCGGAATTGAAAGAAGCTAAAACCCAAGTTATTAGAAATAACCGCCGTTGGATGAATGCTGGCCAGCATCTTCCACCGGACAACTTTGAAGTTGCCTCCCGGAGCTTGCGCACGGCACCCTTCTGGATCTGGGAGAGTTGCTCCGCATATTCTTGGCTCCTTTGCGCTTTGGAGCCCCACCACTGCGGGAACACGAAGGCCTTGGACATGGCCACGAAGATTTTGATCAACGTTCCGATATAGGACCCATTGGCCTCCAAATATTTGGAAAGAACGTATGATTATCAACCAATTTTCGCAAGAGCCTATCTAGAAAGAACCCTATGCTATGCCGGTGTCTCTGTCGCATACTCATCGCAGGTTAGGGGTGCTCCAGGGTTTAGGGTTTAGGGGTTTATTGGCCTTTTGGTTTTAAGAGTTTAGGGTTTAGGGATTTGTGTGGCCCTCTGGCATGAAACCACGCCAAAGCACAACCGAGCCAAACAAGTTTTAAAAAAAATGACCCTCCTAAACCACACTTGGGGGGGGGGGTCAGGGGGATTTAGTAAGTATACTTATAACCCCTATAACCTAAATAGTTACCCCAGTTAACCCCTTTATAAACCTACTTTCATAAGTCCCCATGACCTTCCAAGCATACCCCAAACCGTATGTAAACCCTACACCCTAAAACCCTAAACCCTAAAACCCTAAACCCTGAACCCTAAACCCCAAATCCTGAACCGTACACCCTAAACCCTAAACCCTAAGTCCTTCGCTCTGGCCCCCTGACTCATTAGTCCTGCATCGCTGGGTCATCGTAATCGTGACGCCTGGGGCTCAAAGCGGCTTAGGGTTCAGGGTGTAGGTCAAATATTTGTGCGGGGGTCTGGGGCTGAGGGTTTGGGGGCTTTGAGTTTAGGATGCTGGTTGAGGGCCCCTTTCTGGGGATCCCAATAAGCAGGATTATGATATTTTGGCGTCTCTATTGGCGCCCCGAATTTATGAAAGCTCCCGTCTGTAGGTTGGTTCCGTATTGGGATATTAATAATGAAATCAGAAGGAAAGTACATGGAAAAGGAATTGGAAGCTGCGTGTATGTAGGTGTTTATAAAGATTGTATGTAGGCGCCTGGGTAAACGTAGTAGTGCTATATTATATTACTGTAATCAAGGTTTTGGGCTATGTGATACTAGAAGGGTTTCATGGTATTTCTTGGGGGTCCTTGTTTGAGGTCCCCATCAAAGTCCCTTGATTTACTGGGTCCATTTGCGGCGGTTTGGCTATTCAACTTTGCCCCTAAGTCCTAAACCCAAAGCCCTAAACCGCGGCCGAGTGACACATAGTAGCCAACCCGGCAGAACTCCTTTCCTCCGCGGACGCAGGCTAGGGCTTAGGGTTCCCTTGATGCTTAGGGTTTAGGGCTTAGGGCTTTTGATGGTTCATGCATGGTGAGTTATAAGATATGAGAGCGATTAGGGTTTTGGGTTGTGTCTATGGGTCCCTAACTTTGCTTGCTGCTTAAATTTCAGCTATCCTGCTTGGAATAACCCCTTCATTTATGAAGACTACCCATGAACCCTTCAGGCTTTCGTGGCTTGGCTTGGCAGAGACACCTGGTAAACTCACAAGGCAATGATACTAAGGGAGGTTTGGGATTGGGTTTCTAGGGATCTTAGTTACCCAACCCCCCAAAAATCAGGACCCTGCTGTAGTCATATGATTGTTATAGGGTCCTTACTATAGGGGTTGGGGTACCGATAGGACAAAGCAATCACCCTGACAAATTCTGCGCCCATTTCTCCCTGTTCGTACTCAGAACATCCCCTTCCCCAAAACCCTAAACCCTAAACCCTGAACCGTGTACTTCTGAGAGGACCCTCTAAAGGAGCCTCTGTTAAGGAACGGAAACGAAGCTTACCAAACTAGCCTCATGGGACTTAGGAACTACTTGCAACTGGACTCGTGACCCTACTTATAATTTGGGTAACCTACCTAAGTCCAGTTAGAGCCGTTAAAACCTTAGTATAACCCCAATATAACCCCAATATAACCCTACTCTAGGTAGTTACTAGGTCCCCTGAACCTTCAAGCAAGCCAGTTGTTGGGTTTCCATGTTCATGTTCATGTTGCAAAAAGACTCTCCTGGAGCCACAAGTATGGAAGTCCAAGAACACAGTAGTAATCATATAGGAATGAACCTAACAGGGTCGTTACATTGCGATTATAGCCTGATAATTTAGTTGGGGTGCCCTGTTTGGGCCCCATTAGAACCCTTTAAGGCCCGAAAACCCTAAACCCTAAACCCCAAGACCCTAAACCCTAAACCCTAAACCCTAACTTTTGGTTTTGGGAAGTAGCCCCGGCAACACCACGGCGCCTCTGTACATGGCGGAAAGGTAGAGGCCTGCCTCAGAATACAGAAGAATCTGTTCCTGGGACTCCCCTCCCGTTTAGGGTTTAGGGTTTAGGGGTTTAGGGTTTAGGGACCAATCATTAGAGGCCCTACACTGCGAACTAAAACGACTGCGTCTTATTTCCATTGGGAGCACTTATCTGGGTTACACTTGCAAAGCTTGACTTAATTCACCATAATATGGGCTACATATGAGCTGTAGTCTAGACTCCAAGTAACTTTAAGCACCCCCCTTAATAACCCTATGATACTCCCCTATGTATTCCCCTACATAGCCCCCCTTTAAGGAGTTTAGGCCCTAAACCCCTTTAAGGAGTTTAGACTATAGCTCATATAAGATAATATGCTTTCCCAATAATGCTGACTCAGGTACCCTAAACCCTAAACCCTAAACCGTGTGGTTCAGGGTGCTCGGGGCAAACATGGGGCAACCCTAATGTAGAGCCTGAAGTGTGGCCATTAGCATCTCCAGCTCTATTTGAGGCACCCCATAAAATCATCTTACAAGGTTTAGGGTTTAGGGTTTAGGATTTTCTGCTACAATAATGTTGGAAATTATCTTTGCCTGTACCTTGCACCCCCCTTCAAACCTACACCCCTAAGCCCCAAACCTTTAAACCAAATATCTTGTATCTGTACCTTGCACCTTGAGCCCTTCATTAACCCAACCTTGCCTGTGAAATGGTCGCGCTGGTTGCAAACGTGTTGCCCGCTTCCGGACGTGGTCGTTTCCATATTATAATGGGTTATATGGATGGTTGTCAAAATTATGGTCCCCTTTTGGGTACCTTGAATATTAGGGGCCGTAGTATAATAGGGACCCAAAAAGGGACCATAATTTTGACAACCACCCATATAGGGACATATAGGATTTCCATAATCCATTATGGCAGTTTCCATTTTCTTTTCCATTGTCCCCAATATAACAGGGTTTAGTTTAGCGTTTATAGGGGGAGCCTAGTATGAACCAAAAATCGCAGTGTAGGGACTCCCACACAGGGAGCCCTATTTTTTTGCAAGCCCCTATGTTGCAGCCTGCATGTACGCAATATGCGGGCTGCAACGGCGTAGGTTCCCCTTAGCCTAGTCGAAAGAGGCTACACTTTTTTGTGAAACGGGCTCTCGGAACCCAACAGGTATAAAGAGCGTCTACGCAGCTACCAGGAACCAAGCGCCCAAAAAGAAGAAAAGGGTAATTTCGCGTACCTTGCTGCGCAAATATTTTTTTGCCGTGGAACCGAGTAACACTACTTTCTTCTGAGAAAGAACTATACCAAACAGAAAGGTTCATGTTTACTCTGCATTGGGGACAACATACTACCCAACTAGGGATACCGGCAAGCCATAGAAGCTTATAACTACGCGAACCCTATATACAAAAGTTTCACACGTTCATCTTCGATACGGCTTTCCTCTCTGAATCTCAAACGAAACAGTATCCAAACCCTAAACCCTAATCCCTAAACCTCACCCTACCCAAAGACCCCTAAACCCTGAACCCTGGACCCTACACCCTAGACCCTGAACCCTGAACCCTTAAATCCTAAACCCAGGACCCTAAACCCTATAATCCCTACACCCTGTATATCCCCTCTGACCCCTAAACCCTAATCCCTCTATATCCCCTATGACCCACCTGAACGGGCCCCCAAAGCTGGGGTTTCCACTACTTCAAGGGGGCCGCCGCTTGCCTGGCAATTGTCTGAGCAAGAGCACTAGCTGCAAAGACTGTAGCAGCGGCGGTGGTAGGGGGTTGTGTGCAGGGCAGTAGAAGTAGAAGTCAGAAAAGTAGAAGGAGAGGGACAAGTAAGAGTAGCAGTTGTAGTCGTCGAAGTCGGAGTAGGGTAGATGGAGAAGCACAGAAGCACAAACTAGTAGTGGAAGCAAAAGTAGTATTTGCAGCAGCAATAGCAGTACCAGTCGTGGCGATGGTGGTAGCAGCACTAGTAACAGCTGCAGTAGTAGTGGTAGAGCAGCAGAAGGATACTTACAACCAGTAGCCACTAGTGGCCGCAACCTAAACCCTACACACTAAACCCTACACATCTCTACAAGGGGGCTGTCCCAAAATTAGGGGTACCTTTCTGGGGATCCCTACAAGGAATAAGGATTATAGCATTTCGCAATCTATGTTAGGGGTTCCCCCTCTTTGAAGAATGTTCCTACAACCCCCCCTAAAAGGGACTCGGAGCCCTTCCTGCCTCGATGGCAGACTGCGCCGGAGGGCTCGACTCGAATCGAAAGCGCTGCACGCCCTACAAGGGAGCTTCCAAAAAGGTAGGGGTCCCTTTACAGGGCTTTTGGGGGCTATGCAGGGGTTTTATAGGAATATGATTACAAGGGATTCCTCGTTTTAGGGGGTCTATATTTGGGGCCCAGACAGCAATTTACGAACAATCACGAAGGGACAGACAATAAAAAGTCTCTCAGACTCAAAGGCCATTCTTCTACTTGGATAACTGCTATAATGACCCAAGAGGCAGGCCGC